GCAGGTTCAGCTCTCGATTCTTCGTCACGACATGTTGATCAAGGACTTCAAGAAAAAGAAACGACGACCAATCAGAACATATTGATGTCTATACGTACAAATAATCACTAAGAATCCATCGATGTTTGTATCAATCAATTGTCGGGTATACTTCTGCTTCATGTTGCTGCTATTCTGCAATAATATGCAATAATATATGAGAATATATTGCCAATTGTTGGATTGTAAACACTTGCTGGACCAACATGGACCTGCCGTTGCAAATACAATTGCACTACATATGATGCTGTTCGCCTACATGGCAGCAGCTCAGAACATGAATGATAACTCTGGTGTGGGAATCTGTCACCCCATGTCCCCCCAAACCCCTTTTTGACGACATATCGGAATGAAAAAATCTCCTCTTACATGCATGGTATGGCATGGTCGCATTTCAGCGCAGTGATCGAAAACACGAAATTGCACAAGTAAAACCACCAGTTGCTACTTCTTCACACATGGCCACCTTGCAGTCAGCAGCGCCAAAAAGACCTCAGCGCACACCGGATGCTTCTTATTTTGTTTTTTTGCAGGGATCCCATTTTCTGTGCAGCTCAATCTCTGATTTGGAACGCGCAACACACTCATATCTGATAACATCATCTGATTCACATCCGGTTACTAACCCCCGTCACAATAAAGTACGCCAAGACCAAGAACAAATCAATCAACCAGCCCCACAATCATAAATCAATAAAGTAGGCCAACATTCTTGAGATGTATTTGTTGGCTTCACTTTTTGTTTGCTTTCCCTGTTTTTCCTTTCTGGCCTCAGAAGGAAAAAAACAGGTCCCGCAGTTTATTTTCTTTACAGCAGCTTGTTTTAAAAATGCCTCCCGACAAACTCGCATAGGGGGTAGCTTCGAAACAAGTGGGAACCTAAGTAAACAGCAGTGCTTGAACATGCTTGAACCCCCAAGTAAAATGCTTCAAATTTGGTAACCTTCCTTAAAATCCAAAGGGAAAATCAATTCCAATTCGATTTCAAACTAGTTTAGGCTCCATTTGAATTTCAAGTGGAAGTGCTTACAACCAATTCTTATTTAATTTCACTTCACAATCAATTTTAAGTTCTCTTCGAAGTTCGAAGTCACAGTAAATTCAAGTTTCAAGTATATAAAGCAGTTCAAATCAGAATCCATTCAAATTCAAATTCGAACTCAATTCAACTTCACTGTCAACTTAGAGTCAGTTGGAAATTGAAAGAAATATCAATCTCTGTTCCCAGACAGCTTTCCATGAATGCATTTCTCAATTACAAGCACAAGCAGCAAGCAAGCAAGCAAGCAAGCAAGCAAGCAAGCAAGCAAGCAAGCAAGCAAGCAAGCAAGGAAGGAAGGAAGGAAGCACGCAAGCACGCAAGCACGCAAGCACGCAAGCACGCAAGCACGCACGCACGCACGCACGCACGCAAGCAAGCAAGCGGCAGCAGGCAAGCGGCAGCAGGCAAGCGGCAGCAGGCAAGCAAGCAAGCAAGCAAGCAAGCAAGCAAGCAGATAGGCAGGCAGGCAGGCAGGCAGGCAGGCAAGCAAGCAAGCAAGCAAGCAAGCACGCACGCACGCAAGCAAGCAAGCAGCAAGCAAGCAAGCAAGCAAGCAGCAGCAGGCAAGCAGCAGCAGGCAAGCGGCAGCAGGCAAGCAGCAGCAGGCAAGAAGCAGCAGGCAAGCAGCAAGCAAGCAGCAAGCAAGCAGCAAGCAAGCAGCAGCAGACAAGCAGCAAGCAAGCAGCAAGCAAGCAGCAGCAGGCAAGCAGCAGCAGGCAAGCAGCAGCAGGCAAGCAGCAGCAGGCAAGCAGCAGCAGGCAAGAAGCAGCAGGCAAGCAGCAAGCAAGCAGCAAGCAAGCAGCAGCAGGCAAGCACCAGCAGGGAAGAAGCAGCAGGCAAGCAGCAAGCAAGCAGCAAGCAATCAAGCAGCAGCAGGCAAGCAAGCAGCAGCAGGCAAGCAGCAGCAGCAACCACTCACTCAATCACTAAAAGTTGTGGCGACGCCAAAATTGAACTTTTTCCAGGCGCACGGCCTCCCGATACGACTTTTGCGAGCTGATACGACTTAATGCTAGCGCTTGTAGCAAGAAAGCTTTACCTGACTCCATGTCCGGGGTCCTAAGAAGTATGTTTGGCCTAAATCTTATTTGAGAGTGGATCTTTTTGTGAAGGGAGGAGTGATTGTATAGGAGGCAGCTACAAATCAACGATTTCGTTTCTGCATCGTTCCACCTACCCAGATTTCAGTCTGAGTCAAGGCAAACATGTAATAAGTCAATATCGCAACCACCTACGTCTAAGGCCTAGGGCCGCGCACTGTCCGTGGTGTGATATGGTGTGATATCGTGTGATATGGATCCACATGGCGTAGTATGGCATAGCATGAGTATTTACACACATTATCACACATTGACACATCAGCAGTATGACATGACGTGCCATGACAAAAACCAAGAGAACAGCAAGACACTTATATGTAACTTATATGCGTATATTTTACACACACAGCACACACACACATATATGCATATATAATTTTAATTATATATAGATAATGACCCTGACAGCGGCCAGTAGACATCTATTCAGTTTCTGGACTTGTTTCTTCGATCGCCTTGGGATTTCTTGGGTATTCCATTTGCAATCCATTGGCAAAATTGATCACCGTTTCCCGTTTGCTATGTTTTCGCTCTTGAGCTTTTTCCAAGCGCAATAAGCCTGCAGCGAAAATGGATGGAAGCAGCAGCTGTGATGCCCACGCACGACGGTCCCGGCCTTGCAAAAAAAATAAGAACTGCATCTCACCAGTTGGAGCAGTTTTAGAATAAATGAAATAAATGAGAACCAACGTGCTATTATATAAATAAACTGATATATCTATATAATATAAGTTAAGCATACTACCATGATCATAATATGATCTCTACGTTTCGCAGTTTCGCAAGGTGAAGGCATTGGAAAACGGCACGTGCTGTACCAAGCTACTACAGTGCTAAGACAGTTTTTGAGATGACTTGGCCGCTGAAGTCCGATACAATCGGTTGTTTCTAGGGCACAAGGCGCACTGAAAGTGCCCGCTTGCGGAAGAGGGCATCAAACCTGGAGCACGCAGCGCTGTGAGCTTTGAAGCAGAAACCAACATAAAGCCCAACAGTATTAACAATTATTGAATCAGTATCTGATTGAATATATGTCTGAATATCTTTTTGAATATTCTTCATATGTCTTCATCATACTCCATTCCTCCGCACAGTGGGACTCTAATAAAGACCAGCACTTGCAGCAGTCCAAGGTTGGAGTCTGGCTTGTTACCAGTCAGAAGTCTTGCCCAGCTCCAATTCTTCTGGGACAGGCCCCTCACTTATCAAATGCATTCAAATGTCATTTCAAATCATTTCCCATTTAGCACACTTGTACTACTCTTGTTAGGAGCGAAGCGGCATCTTCCATAGTTATCGTAGTTTTAGCCTTTAGCTGATGCTTGCTACAGTATCTCTGCAGTGTCTTTCTATAGTATATCTTCTCTGCAGTGTATTGCTGTATCCAACACATTTCTACAGTGTCTTAGATGATCAAACCTTTAAATTCTTGTTGCGTGGACATAAAAACCTCAGGACTCAGGCTACGGGCCTCCAACCTTGGAAATCTTAGACGACCCAGCTATTTCAAAAATGGTACCAGGAGCCCCTTGGCACCCAGACTGCTGACACCACAATGTCGGCCTTTGTGCTCGCCCACAAGGAAAAATCGATGCATGGAGTATGGATCTCACATTTAGATTCGAAACAGAGATCTTTATTCTTACATATTATTATATGTATATTATTTTTCCTTCTTATACACCCTTGAATATTTTGATATATTCTTACATATATATATATATATATCTATTCTTATACATTCTTTTAAAGAATAAATATTCTTATATATCCTTATGTATTCTTATATATCCCTATGTGTTCTTATATATTCTACAGTACTGTATATTCTATGAAATTCTTATATATTCTGATATATATATACATATATTATAAATATATTCTTACATATTATTATTCTTACTACATGCGCTCCTTGTTTTGCTGCTACACTGCAATGTCTTAGCTCATGCTTGTCCATGTTGCACGTGGTGTGAATTGCGACTCTGCCGAGAAAAGATCAGAGAAGAGAAAGAGTGAGAAAAAAAAAGACGCAGATGCGCGAAAAGGTAGGAAAGTGGCAATTCATTCCGTTTTTCCAATGATTTGTGGCTCCGGAGGGTCGAAAAGTAGGTTCGCTAAAGCGACGGGTGCGGAGCCATCTGGCCAGATGAGAGATGAAAAATTGCACGCCGTTGTAGCGCGAAGAACGTTTCCAAAATGTACAAAACACACCAACATTGGACCAATTTTGGAAGTTGAGATGTCGAAAAAGTGCACGCCATTGTGGCGCGAAGCACACTTCGAAGTCAAAATGTACAAAGCACACCAGCTCCGGACCACTTTTGGAAGTTGCGATGTCGAAAAAGTGCACGCCGTTGTGGCGCGAAGCACATTTCCAAGTCAAAATGTCCAAAACACACCAGGTTCGGACCACTTTTGGAAGTTGAGATGTCGAAAAAGTGCACGCCGTTGTGGCGCGAAGCACATTTCCAAGTCAAAATGTACAAAACACACCAAGCTCGGTGCACTTTTCTAAAGCTGTGATGTCGAAAAAGTGCACGCCGTTGTGGCGGCGCGAAACACATGTCCAAGTCAAAATGTACAAAACACACCAAAGTCGGACCACTTTTGGAAGTTGAGATGTCGAAAAAGTGCACGCCGTTGTGGCGCGAAGCAACATGTCCATGTCAAAAGTGTAAAAAACTGATGGGTACAGAGCACTTTTAGACTTTCAGACGTCGTTTGGCGTGGCCAGCGCAAAGGGATTGCGCACCTTGTCAAAAGTGAGCAAAACGTGACGGTTTTGTAGCAGTTTCAAAAACGTTGGCAGGCGTGAG